TACTCATTCTATACGAGTCAGAGTTTCAATACCATGAATGAGTGTATTTCACAGCAAAAAGTATAGTTTTTATAGCGCGTCGACCGATATAATCACCGATTTGGACACCTGGGACATTCCGCTAGATTACCGGACCTGGGCAGTCCTATTATACCATACCATACGAGTATAATTCACTCGGTTTTAATTGCAATTAACGTAAACACTTGCCGTTCTTGCATTGTGAGTACACTGTAGTCCAAAATAAAACAAATGTATAGAATTTTATTCTAAAAAGTTTTTGAAGGTACAGACAGTACTAGTTTACTGTGAAGTGACTGTAATTGTCAAGTTACATTATTCTTTAATTTAAAGTTATTGACGTTTTAATGGTTTTAAAGTGTGTATATTTTGAGATATTTTCTAAAAAACTATTGCAATTTTTCTGCATATTACTACTTTATAATATAAGATACAGTATTATGTTATTAATAAAATGTAAATTAATCTTAACTAATATTATTTACAAAACTTCAAAACATATATCATAACTAATACAAAAGATTAGTGAAACTGTTGTTCAAAATACATAAGAATACGTTTTATAAGATTTGTATTAACTAGTAGTACAATCGCCTTATCTATTTTAAAAATACCTTTTACCTTTTACTTCATCATAAAATTGAATTTGTAAAACATGTTGCAAATAATGATTGTCAAATATTATGAGTACAATGATACAATTGTGGCTACATTATTGTGAATATAGTGTGAGCTTTCATTTGTTCAGTCTATGGCTTACAGCGACAGTCACTATCGGTTTCATGTAAGATGTGGTTCAGGTTTGATCACAATTTTTTGCTCTTATTTTCTAACGACTATTATTTGGTGACATTTACTACAAATATGTCTTTTATGAAAGGAATGCCATTCCTATTGTTGGCCGCACTGATGGAGCCCTCAGATGTAAACCATATATTCTTCTTAATCGGGATCATTATATTCATATTTGTCATGTTCTGTAAATTGACGAAAACTAGTCACCAATAAACTATTTTTATTATAAAATATAAAACTAATTTGCAAATGCATTATTGTTTATTGTACTTCTTTTAAATCCAATTAGTTTCTACTGTATCTTCAGTCAAAACCTTTTCACTTGAGTCTCAGTCAAAGGGTTTCACTCGTGTAATACTGTATGTTTTCAGTCCAGGTATAATAGAAGTTATAACAGAGCACATGTACACTTAAATAAGCATTTTAAGAGAGTTATCTTTTTACTAGTTATAAAATGTATTTTTTTTTGTTTTAAATAGTTTTGCAGTACCTCTGGCAAAATTATATATAAATTGTATTGCAAAAGTTATATTCTTAGGGTAATAAATTATTACTAATAATCATTTTCTATGTAACAATTTCTCAAAATAATTCATTTTTCTTGGTTCTTGACAAAATCGATTATTAAAGTATTTCTACAAAAGTATTTCTTGGCAAATTATAACTTTTCCTCTACATCTTACAATTGGACCCGTCTCAGAATAATTTAGTAAAAATATAAGGTTATGCTTAAGATAATCCTTAGTTGTTATAGAAAATTATGGGAATAGTCGTCTGGGCTTATATGGGGGTTGGGAGGTGTTCGGGAGGTGTTTCTGTTTTGTATGGGTTGGCACTCCTTTAAGAATCTCATAGAAGGCGCCGCCACCTATTGGATTCTGGTTGACAATACAACTCTATGGGATTTTACTATTGAAAGTCTGTATAAACACCTCCCGCACACCTCCCAACCCCCATTTAAGCCCAGGCGACTATTCCCATAATTTTCTATAACAACTAACAAGTTAGAAAAAAATTATGAAAAAATAATACATAGTGAACAAATTTAATTAAAAGTAAAATTGAATATATAACTTATAATAAATAAATATTTTGCATAAGAATACATAAAACTTGTTGTCAAAGTGATTAGAAAACATAATCAATACTATATACAAAACTTCAAAACATTTATTATAATCAATTCTAATTAAATGTAAAATAATTATTGTATTAAAGTAGTCACCAATCGTTTGAATTTAGTATTAATATGCAAAAAAATTGCAGTAGTTTTTTAGAAAATATCTCAAAATATACACACTTTAAAACCATTAAAACGTCAATAACTTTAAATTAAAGAATAATGTAACTTTACAATTACAGTAACTTCACAGTCAACTAGTACTGTACCTTCAAAAACTTTTTAGAATCAAATTCTATACATTTGTTTTATTTTGGACTACAGTGTACTCAGTACACTGTAGTATACAGTAAAGTGTACTGTAGACTAATATACAGTGTATATCCTTTTAGTTCAACTCTTTATAAGTAATCGTAATAATACAGTACCGTACATTGTAACTTATATTATACAAGCTTATCTTATTCTCAATTTAAGCAATGTCATTTTCATTTCGTCTACTATGAGCATGGTGAAATATCATCTTTAACCTATTTTCATGATGAAATATCATTCTAGTCTTTTGTATTAATTTCTTGATTGACAAATGAATAAATTTACAATATTACCATCAATTCAACCTATTTATTATATATAAATTATATATATGGTACTCATTTAATGTGATCGATAATTTAATAATCAATAATATCATTAAATGATTTGACACCATTATATCATATATGTAAGTTATTCTAAAAATATCGATTCAATTTAAGTCCAATTTGAAAATATTTTAAAAAATTCTTAACACTGTATAAGATACACGAGTCGTGTATCACGACCCTTTGGTATAACAATTATAAACTATTGAAATAATTAGCTATTTGATAATTATTATGATAAAATGTTTAATAAAAACTCGAATACTGTACATGGTTGGACTCATGGAAATTGATGAAAAAGTAATTATCGTAACAAATATTTTAATTATAAAAATAAAATTTGTAAACAAATAAAAATGTGTGAAATTGGTAAACGTAATAACAAGTAAAATATAGGTATCGTAGCATTCACTATAAAGTACTGTACAGTAATATAAACAGGTAGATAATAGTATTACGGTATTGAACAGTACAGTACAGTATGTATATTGAGGTTGTGTTACAATGCTTTAGTGAGAGAAGACTCGAATGAGAGTGAGATGTCATTAAAAGTGTTGAGTATTTGATGCAAAAACGTGACGAGAGTTGCATCTCTTGTGAACGAATGGCTCTCATAGAAGAGATGAGAGAGCGATGGCCGACACAGCACTTGCAGGAACCCAGGGATCAACTGGTGGTCCCTATAGTTGATAATAAGCATTGTGTGACAATTAACTCACTAATGAATCAATAGATCAATATATTGTATGCTATCATATATACCGAATCGATAATAACAAGAAAAGCGAAAACTTCTGGTCCTTTCCATAGTTGACTGCCTTATCAGTGATGCTGTCGATTGTGTCTATAAGTGTCTCTTCAATGGTGTCGACCGTCTTATGAGTGGTGCGACTGATCTTTAACTCACAGCACACTCTCAACATATAGTCCCACAAATAGGACTGTTTCCTGAATGAAGAACGGCTTCTGTTTTTAAATCCAAAGTAAAATATTTGTGTTAAAATCCACAGTAGCTTTCGTTCGCCAAAAATCAATTGTGTTAAGCATTTAGTAGTTCCCGAAGTGTTGACAGTCCTATGAGTCGTGGCATACCGTTTGCCTAATGTTTGTGAATTCATTGACGATTTGGTCACCATTTTTGGCAATATTTTCTTGTGAGGTGAACGAGTCGAGTGATCCGTTTGATTCATATCTATTAACTGCTGACTATTGATGGCGTTTCCAGTATTGCTTGTGTTGCCTGTACTGCCTGTACTGCCGGCGCTGGCATTTTGTGCGTTATAATAATATTTCATGATTTGGTTCACATTTTCTCCTAATAATGTCTGTAATTCTTGGGCACAAAAAGTGGTCTCTTTGTTGTCGTACTGATCATTAGTGATACTTCGAGTCCAATTGCGACCAATAGATGAGCTGCGGGTGGGGTGACCCGACTTTTTCAATATTTCAGACACCGAACCGGTTAACAACTCTCCGATGAGCACCCGTTCTGTGGACCCTTCCTCTATATTACGTCCGAACCAACGATTGCATTGAAACCTAAAACCATTTGTTAGATGCCATTACTGTACACTGACTGAAAAGTACCAGTATAACATTATACGGTACTACGGTATATATGACTTACTTATAGATATGATTTGTTACTTCATTCCTAATAAAACAGTATTCAATGAATATTTTGGTGCCCTGATTGCATCCAATGGTTAGCGTATTTAAAACTCCAAGATTTCGATGCTTTTCATATAATAGTACGGATAGAAATAAACAATAGTAAATAAAAACTCATTCATAAGGTAATATTAGTGTAAAATGTGGTCATTTTCCGTCCAAATTTTTATAAATATGATACAGTACCAGAATATGTTTGCAAATATGGGATACTTACTTTAAATGTATAACAATTTGTACAATTGATGAGAAGGTTATCGCAAGTGTTTTCCATTGAACCGCTTATCGAAAACCAACCGTTCATTTGAGATGAGCCATAGATTATTAGAGTATAAGCTATCGATAAATTGGACTTTAATTACAATTCAAATCAATTTATTAAAAAATTTACACAAAAGGCTTGTGGTGAACGTGTTGGTGAAACACATTAAATCGACCGCATTTAGTGTCAATAAATGTGTCAAAAACTGTTCCCTCTCTTCTTCACACCGAAGAAATGCATATCTTTTATATAGAGTTCTGTTAAAAGACAAACAAATTATAATTAAATTAACATATTATTCATGACGACAATCAATAGATTCAATTACAGTAACAATTCCTGATTTGAGAGCAAAGTTCTCAAGTGTTTGGAAAGTAATTTCCTTTCGAGTGCCAAACGAATGAAAGCCCGACATTTGCCAACATCTGTCTTGATGTCTACCATCGATCGCACAGACCTTCACATTCATTCATTCATTCAACAATTATTGACAAATATTACCGTAATATTAGCGGTAAATATAATATTCAATACCTGTACATTTGACAGATAATTCATAACTCATACCTAACATCGTATAGGAGTGTTGTGGGCAATGACTTGAGAGGACTGTTACTATTAATTTGGCGCATCTTTTGTGACTTCGATGGAGAGGAAGGCGTTGATTGTGGCGATGAGTCGATTGAGATCTGAGATAAAGCTTTGTAAATAAAAATAAAAGTGAATGTCAGTTATTATACGATTAGAAATGGTATACAGTATTTGCAAATAACAAATCACAACAAATAGACTTTGAAATGAATAGAAATGAGTTACAAAATGTCAAAAAGTAAGAGTAAGAGACATACAATCGATTCGCTTCTTGAATAAAATCCACGCCAAGCCTTAAGTGATGAAAGAGAATGAAAGGCAGAGAAATACAGTTACGTAAGACTATTAATTGCCAGATAGAGACCAATGTTACGAAAAACAATTCTAACACAACGGTATACACATACAGTATTGGGTAAATAACGTCAATTAGTATAATTTTACATTACGGTAGTTCGTTGTTAGTATTAATGATAAACATTTGCCCCATTAAATTAATTAGAAAATTGTAGCATGCAATTACAAAAATTGTGTCAGAATCTCAACATTTAAACACAGTACAATCACTTGTTTAATTTTTTTACCGTATACAGTACTGTGCAACAAGTGAAGTAGGATTCATATTGCCCCAAACATGAAATAAACATAACATTTATAACATATTGACTGAAATAATAAGTAAATGAGACATCATATCGGTATTAATATACAGTATCATAGTCTATAATATAGGTTCTATAGACTCTACGGTAATGATAACATAAGACCACATTATATACACTATGCATACCAGGCGTCAGTTGCGAAGACTCGATATTTTTATGTGTGTTGCCATCGATGGCATCGTTGGTTTCCAACTGATAGTAAGCCATGAGGTGTGACCAGAAGGAGCAGCGGCCGGACTGCCATTTGGTCACCTCTTTATTGTCTTCACTCGTGGCGTGCGACCAAATGCGCTCAATGAGGTCGCAGAGGGCCGCGATTAGGGTGTTCTCCTCGACACCGCCCACAGCGCCGCAGCCCAGAGGGCGCACCTCATCGTTGCCCATCTTCTCGAGCAATATTCGCTTCGTTTTCATCTAAATATCAATTATTGACATCAAGTGAATGGTCACACGAAATGGTCACATGAGTTGATACCTTCACTTCTTTCATAAGAGTCTCGACGACTCGCCAATTAGTCTGTGCCGTCAGTGCCGCCGGCATTGTCTTCGAAGGAGACGCCATTGGAAGCGAACTACTATTCACTAGATTTGTACTCTTTTGGGATAACGTCTGGAATCGTCTCCGAGTGCGCGGCGAAGCGATGGCTGTAGTGGACAGATGTGAGGCGTCTGTTGTCAACACTATAGAGGTGTTGGAGTCAAGAGTAGGTAATTCCTCCAATTCCTGGAGAGCTATTTGTTTGGCACTTTGGAAACGCGACTCAAGTATTTGGTCCGTGAATAGGGAGAGATCCAAGTCCTCGAAGTCGTCATCATATATGGACTCATAGAGGGATTGTTCGCCACACGTATTGCTGGCAATTGTCTTGTGTTTGCGGATCAACTGTTTGCCCATTTCGTCGATGAATGTGACGAACATTTGTGTGGAAACAAATTGCTGGAGGAAAGCCTGCATTGACTGCGGCCTATCGGACAGGTAGGACACCGTATCGAATAGTATTGAGTCCTATAAGTGAGTACAGACAACATCATCAATGAATGAATGAATGAATGAGTGGATTGGAGTGGAAGGGGGTGACGGGCACTACCTTTCTGTTGTAAATAATAAACTGTTGATATTTGTGGAGAATATGTTTGCGAATAGTCTTGAGAAATAGGACGCGGATCTGTTGGTTGAGCTTCAAGTCATCCAAATAAGTGAAGTCATCGCTAATAACGTTATGCTTTTTGGCCAATTCAGTCAACCTCTGGAGGGCCGCACTCTTGGTATGTGTGCCCACACCCGGCGCCACACAACTGAGTCTCAGGTCGGCATTCAATATGGTCTCCAATTCCATCCTAAGACTGTCCATAAAGGGTGGCATCACTACAGATGCATCCAAATTGAGTTCGACTGAGTGCTCGTCACAGTCTATAAGACATCCCACCATTAATTGGTCGGCCGGTGGGATGTTTGAGCTCTTATTAACTCCCATTATGTAAGGCGTCGGTGCGTCCAAGTAGTGAACCCCTGAAAGACCAGCAATTGAATCAAATGGGAAGCCATTGGATCCAATGGATCCATTCAATGGTGCTATACGTACCTAATTTGGTGGGAAGAATGGGAACGTAAACGTGTTGCCACTTGAAAGGGTTGAGTAGAGTGGACAGACACTCGGCCACTAACATCAACTTATAGTAGTCACTACTCATCACCAGTATCTGTGTCTCAATGAGTGCACAGCAATAGCACAGCAGGAAGTGATCGACACTCAAGACTTCGCTGAACAGTAGACGAAACGGGTAGTCAAACAGCGGTAGAGTGGACAGGGGTCTGAGGATTGTGACAACACTATTATCGTTGACCACACCATTGTCACCCGTGTCCTCACTTTCACCTTTACTGTCAATGTTAGGGTTGTGTTGAGATCTCTTATGACTTAAGTCTAGAATCAAAGACAATATAACATAAGAGTGAATGAGTGACAGACATGTGGTTTATGTCTTACTTTTGGTGATATTTGGCAAAACAATTTGAATGCATTTGCCTTTCGGTGGTAATCGGATCTGTGATACACAACGAATCCAACGGGGATTACAGTCAGCCCTACAGACACACCATTGCAGACAACGCCGCAACTGATCGACGAGTGGCCGCACTGTGAGCGCCACCAGAGCTCGAGTCGTATAGACGACACCCGCCGGCAGAGTGGTGTCGGTGTGGGGGTCGGTGTGGGGGTCGGTGTGGACCACATTGGAGTGACTGAAGACATAACTGCCGCCATATATGCGTTGACCGGTCTGTGAGGTGATGCAGAAGGAGTGGAAGGAGTGGTCGATGGGGGCGACCGTCTGGACGCTCCACCCGTTCGGCAGAGACAGCAGAATGAGTGACGAGTCGTCCACTTGTGGGCAGTCGTCGATCTGGAGGATTGTCTCCACTTTGTTGTCCACAGTTGTGGCCAACAGTGAGATCTGAGAGAAGAGTTTCATTCGTTCCCTGTGTTGGCCACGAAGACGACGAGAGGGCGTCCCCGGAGTGGTGGGGGTGTAGGGGGTGTCGGGTGTCGCACACATGCTGTCCATCACTGAATCACTCATCAATTAGAGACAATGAGTGCATCTAATGGCCAGACATCCAGACATGTCTTGTTTACACCAAACATACATACAATCAATTCAAGAGGTGTTTACACTCTCTTCACTGATTTTGCGCACTATCAGCTCTCTCTCTCTCTCTCTCTCTCTCTCTCTCTCTGTCTCTCCAATTATTGACAATGAGATAATATCTTATAGAGATAATATATTATAGAGTTAATTCTCCTTGGTCTTATAATATTCCATAATATTAAAATGAAATAAAAGATTTGATGATAAAAATGAGTAGGCAACTTATTAATATTATTTTATCAACAAATTCTCATTTTGTGATCTTATTTGTGAGCCTTATATAAGCTTTAGGGAACCAGGGTTAGATATTTTTTTATATCTAATTAATAACTTGATTCAAAATATTTTTAAAATAAAACCTATGAATATTGTGTGAATAATTGACTTTTGAATCGAGTTATTAATTAGATATAAAAAATAGCTAACGTCTCTCTGGTTCCCTAAAACTCATATAATTATAGTTTGAGTATACAATCAAATTCATACCCATTAGCTCTACCAGAATATTCTATAATCTAATAATATGTATGCTGTACTTCGATTATAAATAATTTGTGTCTATTATGTTAAGATAAATATTATTACATTACTATCAAATTATTTAAAGTCAAGTTAAATCACATAAAGTTTATTGTATTTATTTATTTTCCTTCTCAATTAATTAAATAGTAATTTTTAATTATAATTAAATTGATTTTAGTATAATGTATGTATGCATATTGACTATTTATTCTTACTAAACTATTAATTCTCTACATTTTCATTGCTCTATTCATGACTGTACCTGTACAGTATATATAATATAATAATAAATTTCGTTTTAACGAAAGCAATTCTGCATTAAATTCAAAACTAAATATTAATGATCTACAGTATAGTTTTCTATGGCAACCAATATTTTTGATAAACATATTATTCTTGTCTTATGTAAAACTCAAAGAAATAATTTAGACGACAATTTGCATAATATGTGTCCAACATCTCCTATAATACAATTGTATTCAATGAATAGATAATAAACTTATTGTTTGCATTAAATATTTTAAACATAAGCAACCCGTTGTAATTCATTATTCCAATACATAATAAGTAGTTTTGAATGAAATGAATAAATAGTTAGTAACTACTGTAGAATAGAGTATAGTTGTGTAAAATAACTGTTGCCATCAGTGCTTGCAAGCTATGTCTCAACCAGTGATCGCCCCATCAACAGATGCCATCGTGTCCGGGGTCAGTGCGGGCTCTGTAGGCAGTGGGGTACAGATCCCTATCCTGTCGGGTCCCATGTCTGAGGGAATGCTACAAATGAGATCTCAGGCCACTCGCAGTCAACGCAATGACTCGACTGAACGCGTCTGTATGTTTGCCGTGTGTCTCATGTTTATCGGCATTCCTATCATTGTTTTAGGTTTGTCTCAATATTTCAGTATTACAATTGTACACCATAACACCTTACCACATTACAATAGATCTACCCGTAGTCATATACAGTATGCATTTTAATTTATTTAATAAAATAATATTCTTATTATACTTTTATAAAGAGAAATGGCATTTTTATCTGAAAGTAACCAAACAAATTTAGTGTCCCTATATGGTAATATAATTCACAAACTTGATAGTAAATTTAACACCGAATCTAGTTATTTATTTAAACTTGAATAGAGTACTATGTCTTATGTAGCTTAACTAGTCTAGTAAGAAATGGAATTGAAATGATTTGTGCCACTATTTAACTTATACATATAATATACATGATTAATTATAAGTAATTAAATGTAACAATTATCATAAATTGGACTCAATGTATAACTGTATGTATGAGTGCAGGTATTATATTACTGGCGTTCTTCGCACCGATTGCTGTGGTACTGATGCTCATAGGAGTGGTGGCCTCCACTTCCGGTGCATTTCTCGCTATTCTGTCGGCCATTCTGTCGGTGTTCATCAAACAGCCCGATTCAGCCACCGTTCCCACCAACTACTCCGATGTCAGACAAGTGCCCGACATTACCATTGAGAGCACCAACTATTCAGAACATTTCGGTGACAACTTATGTGAGGAAACACCTCAACAGTTATCTGCCACTGATTTGCATCAAACTAATGATAACGACAACCACTTTATGGAAAAATTGGGTATTTCATATAATGTTAATCACTTGACCAAATATTTAACAAATTGATAGCATTGCACGACCACAACGTGTCACACTCTTAAAAACATTAACATTGCACATATTATTATTTAAATTAATTTTTACAAATAAACCTAAAAGTACTCCATTTGGTACTACATTTAAAAAGTTAATGAAAATATGTTTATAATTATTAATAGTATTGATTGATTGATTGATTGGACAGATCCAGTGTTTTGGTCCAACTATCCTGAGGCACAAAATCCTAAATCATATCTCAATTCATTCGGAGATTTACCAAAAATAATCGCATCGCCTGAGCCGTCAGCACCGGGCAGTAGGGCTGCACACAAGACATTGAAAGACAAATACGACGATAAAATCAAGAGAAAGATATCAAAGACAATGAAAATGGGAGGGAAGAGGAGAACAATGTCCCGAACAGAGCTCACGCGTGACTATAGCGACGAAATGGAGTCGAGTTCGTCTTCGGACACCACTTCACCCGTCAATCATCGCCGTAATTATCATCAAATCCATGCCACTGAGTATGCACTCAATGGCATGAATGGCAACCAAAGTATAGTAACGATTGAAAACTTTCACTTCAATTCTCACACAACCGATGATCACAACGAGTCAGAGGAGGCTAACGATGGCGTCCTTCAGACACGACATGTCGTGTTCGCCCATAAGAGTAGTGCCGATGAGAATACAACTGAAGATAATAGTGATTATACGACAACTAATGAGTCCAACGAAAGTCATAAAACCGAGGAAACAAATGTTTGTTCAAACAATGAACAAGTTGTCAGTGATTCACACGACAGTCAAACCACAAATGCATTCATCAATACTTGCAGTGATCACAGCAACAAAGGCAAAGACCTCAACGATAGCCAATCACACCAACTGATCACTACAGAAGGGGATACTTATTTGGACTCAAATGGTGGACACGTAGGGGCACAGGTGGATGGGTGTGCGGACTCCACAATCATTGAACAAGATTTTAGTAATTTGTGGACAAATATCAGAAATACAAACAAATAATTGCTTTTTATGTCACTTTATATGATCAAAGTTTAAGGTCAGTTTACTGTAATACTTGTCCACCTGTTTACTATCAGATACTGTCAGATAAAATATATCTTATGTAAATATAAGTTTCTTTTGATTAGTATAAAACCATAAACAAATGGAGCATTTTTAATGTAAATTATATTATATAATGTATACTAACAATGCGTTCCTTTCAAGTGTTATTCAGGTAATTAAATAAATTAAACTGGATTATACTCGTATAGTATGGTATAATAAGACTGACCAGGTCCCGTAATCTAGCGGGATGTCCTAGATGTCCAAATCGGTGATTATATTAGGGACGCGCTATACATTTTTGCATTGAAACACATTAATTCCTAGTATTGTAACTCTGACTCGTATAGTATGAGTAGTTGAATAGGTTTTTATAGCAAAAATGTATATAGTTTTTATCGGGCGCCCCTAATATAATCACCGATTTGGACATCTAAGACATCCCGCTAGATTACCGGACCTGGATAAACTTATTATACCATACCATACGTGTATAATCCAGTTTATTTTATTTAATTAACTGAATAACACTTGCCGTTCTTGCATTGTAAGTTATATTCTTTAGTCATTATGTATAGTGTATTGTACATTACTTATATTATCATACGATTTATTATGTATTGTAGAGAAATCATTGTGAATGTTGAATTTATAGTTTTATTTTTCAATAACTTGTAATAATTAGTTTAACGTAATGACATTTTTAATATGATATAAAGTATTGTCTAAATATACCGGCAATTTGTTAATATTTTATATAATAGTGGAAAAGAGAATTGTTGTAAATTTGGTGATTGCAGTTGAATTTAACACATACATAGTTAGTCTATTTCACATAGGGTTGCAGATAATTTTCTTTTTACATTTTGTTTTAAAATATCAAACTTACACTTGTTAGATAATCTAAGCTAGATCAATAGTATAACAGAGACAGAAAAATTCTAAGTTACTCTACATTTTGATACAGTACTTTTCAATAGTATTGATAATTCTAATGACTACTAAAAAGTGGTACTGATCAAAAATCGTTTTGATGTTAAAAGATATTGTACATGCAATATTAAAAATTCAGTATAACACTTGTAACATTTATTAAAATATTACACAATAATAATCATGTTATTGTTAATGAAGGTTATAATTTAATAGGATTCAGAAGATTATTATTATTATTTAGCATAAAGCAATGAAATACATCATACAATGTAGTCATATGTAATCAAGATGTTGTGAAATGTAATTTTCCATATTTTGTAAAGAGTATACATTGAAAATAAAATCATTTCAGTAATTATGATACAATATTATATTAGATTTATGGAATATGATTTTAATGAAGTATAGATTCTACACAAAAACATTGTACCTTGGTCATGATCTTAATATTCTATAATGCTTTAATCTATATGAATCATTAACAAATAATAAGTATTTATTAAACCAAAAATTGTATTAAATTTTAAATGATCTATTGATCTATAATAAATGAATAAATAAGAAATAGCTATCATACATGTATTGGATAATTGAATAAACCATAATTAAACTAAAGAGAATACAATATAATAGCAAAAATCAGTAAAACTGAGTATAATTTGTATGATTGCGATCAAAATAGTCGCCAAATGTGTGGTTGCAGTCAATTCTTTGGAGACCTGTTCTGAGGAATTGCTTCTCATCTTTGGTCACTTCATCGAAGAGTTGTGTGAATTGGCAGAGAGAGGTCCAGGCGTTGCGGTAGTGATCGACGAGTCCGGTCACCAAATAATAGCGACCCCTCGCGAAAGTGCGACCGCACTCTTCGGTCGTCTTATTCGTGTAAAGCTTCCGATGACTGAGCGCATAGTCAGCCCACTCTCCCAGTTTGTAGGGCTGTCCAAAAACTTTGATTTTATAATAGGAGACATTTGAATACTCCAAATATATTCGGGGAGAATTGATCAGCAATTTGACGGCAAAATCCGATTCGCAAATTTGTCGTTCAAATGATCCCCTCTTAGCACAATCGCAACCAATAGTCTCTTGGATTTCACTTAACATCACTATAATATTGACGACCAATAAAACAATCATTTTCTTCAAAGTCATACTTAAATTATCATTTATTTAAACCTATTTTAACAACAAATATGCTATTACTACTAACCATTTGGTAATACAAATTCCTAATCAAAAAATTTATAACACTTGTGTGAGTGTAAAATATACTTACTTAATTTAATGTTATATTTGACATAATAATTTTCGTTTATACAGTATATACTCGTTAAAGACAATCCTAATTTATATTTCGATGTTAAATAATCTTACACATTAGAATGTTCTTAAACTAATTGTAAGTTATTTCAAAAGTTATTTAACAATACCGTATTAAGTTTAAATATTGCAACTTTATACTACGTTAAATGTAACCACCTTACAAACCAATGAGAAATGAATTTTAAATAGGCATATTTAACATTTTTATTATTATAATTCCTAAAAGAGTAAATAACTTGATACTTTTATAGTGTTACCATATTTTATTCTGACACAGATTCAAATAATAATACTAACAGTATTCAATATTTATTCAGGCATACAGGTACTGTATGATTTACTGAGTAATTGCGTTTACAGTGTTGCGAGTCGCTTACAATGTTTAACTTAAAAATAAAGTTAGAATAATGTTTTTAAAAATATTTTATTTATTATTGGTTTTTATACATAAGAATTTGATGACTAGTACTGTATATTTATATAAAATAATTCAAAGACAAGAAAAATCCAATTAAATAGTAAACAATAAACGAAATATAATGCAAAAAATAATTAATTATTTTTTCAAAACAAATACTATCAATAAGACAATCAGTAGTCAAATATATACTAATTAGTAATTACAGTATGACAAATTCATCAAATAAAAAATGTCTTTTATATAAATATTATTATTATTGGTTATAATTTATAAATTACTTTTGAATAAAAACTAAATAAAAATGTCTACAAAACTATTAACACTTTGAAAATAAGAGAATGTATTATATGTTTGGGAAGAGAATATCTATTCATTAAATCAATTTCTAATTGTATTTATGGAAGAATGCTATCGAAAGACAGTAATTAAAATACAAACAACTATTTGAGTGAAAAGTATTTTTACGTAAACTTTAAAAACAAAAGAGCGACCAATGAATACATTAATAAATATCCGATATTTTTAGCGTATTTTGTATACAAAAAACAAATAAATTGTGAAAATGAGACAAAAACAAAATTGTTTTATGATTCAAATAACTAATTATTTAAAGAAATCTAATTTAATAGATAAGAAAAATCCAATAATTTTCGCATTTATATCAAACCGTTGATATATTAATTGCATATAAATTAGAGAGAATTGCTTTGTAATAAAATTTGCTCACATTTCTATCGTATTTATGATTTAAAAATAAATCAAAATATTTGTGAAAATTCTCTCTAAATATATATAATTATAATTAAGACTAAAATTTGTAATTAATTTAAATTAATAATAATAATAACGACTATTCTTTTCGGGCGCGAGTTTTGCGTAATCGCGGCGACGATCGCACCTCTGGTTCGGGCACTTCTTCGTCTTCGTCGTCCTCCTCCTCAGTCTTGTCTGCGTCCGCGTCGTCGTCTTCGGGCGCCTCCTCTTCTTCGTCGTCCTCTTCTATATCGGCCTCCAATTCGTCGACCTGTCAGTGAGTCAACACATTGAGCACCACTTGCATGACATATAGGACACAGACATGTCTTACCTTCTGGTCGTCTTCTTCGACGAGTGTGTCGTCTGGACTCAATTCGTCGGTCTTTTTGTTTTGAGCAAAACTGGTAGAAGTGGTAGAACTGGTGGGTGTGGCGGAGGCATCACTAGTGTCCGTGCGTTTCGTAGGAGACACACAACAGAATGCAATGAACAGAACCACTGGTATTCCGACGGCCATTATATAGACGGCCCAAAGCCAGGGGTATTTGTTTGTATACTTAACAGCTTTGATGAGTATGTTATCGGTCTCTGAGTCGGACATCTCTTTCTTGATCTGATAGGTGAGCGCCGCTATGTGTCGGCCGACGTCCGAGTCGTCTGTGATTAGGACGTTATCGAAGGCAATACCGTCAGAAATGGTCCACAACTCAAATGCAACTACGAGTCAAATGCAATCAATTGTTATTTCAATACATTTGCCAATCAATTGTCTAATAAATACCGGCGTCAATGGGTAACAGTGTTCGGAAAGGATCGGGATCTTCGTAGAAATCAGGGTTTGGGACCTTACGGGGTCCCCACTTGCCCTTATAGGCCGGGTTCCCAATGAGAGGGGCTCTCCATTTGCCCTTAAATTTTGGATTATCAATGAGAGGAGCCGTCCATTTGCCACATCCGGACAATTGAGCGCAACGGGGGTTAGCAATGAGGGGTGCCTCCCATTCGCCGTCCATCTCTGTGTCCCAATCGGAAGGCTGTTTGGCATCAGCGTCGGCCACCATTTCCGGCTCGTCTTCCGCCCAATCAGAAGGCTTTGCAGCCTTTGGATCGGATATTTTGCGCGGTTCGCTCTCATCCCAGTCCTCGGGCTTCACTAATCATTCAAAATCACAACAAACGTATCAAAAGTCTATTTTCACTTTGAAATACTGTGTGATATGCGAGCTATACCTGCGTCGGGATCCGGTATTTTCTCCCTCTCGTCCCAGTCTTCAGGTTTACTATCGTTGGGATCGTCGATATATTTCGGGGGATTGACGGGTGGGTTAAAGTCCTCCAATAGAGAGCCCTTTCCAACAGAACTCTTATCCAAAGTGACTTCAAAAGTGTTATCTGTATTAATCTCCAGACGAATCAGATGCCATCGACTGTCTTTGAATACCTGTTGCGCACAGATATCAATAAAAACAAAACGGTTATAACACAGCAATCATACGGCCAGTATGAATGGGCACCACCTCATCGATCTTATTGACATTACTGGTGAGCTTCCAGTGCTTCTCGGAAAGGGAGCCGTTGTTAGGGTTCTTGTGTTGGAAAATGAAGTGCAGTTTCATATCATTGCCGCACTTGTCGGGGCCAAACATAATGGAGTACTGGCTCTTGTCGTTTAGGCGCTTCAGGTCTCCCGACGGGTGAGACAACAGTTTTATGTAAGCGCCGCCACATTCCTGGCCGTTGCGGAACTGCACCTAAAAGCACATCCAGAGTACAGACATTAGTTCCGAACAATTGAGCTCAAAGTTCACTACTTATACACACCTCGTACTGAAGAACCAATGGTTTGTTATTGAATTTAAACACTTTATCCAATTTAGTGCTAATCGCGTGATGTTTGGCTCTACTCTTCACTATTAGACACGAATCACCTGTAAATTGATGTAAAGGTTAATAGTTTTTGTCTATAGTTACAAATTAATCATTCATTTCATAGTATTTTCATTATTCATTAATCAATCAATAATTAACATTAAATATTTATTAAAAACACTAACTTGTAGTATGAGAGAGAAAGAGAGAGAGAGAGAGAGAGAGA